ACGCATAAAAAAGTATATTTTACTAAAGATTGAGAAAAATCTCGGAAAATTATGTCATTTCAGCAGCAACATTTGTAAATCACCGGTATCGAATTAGAAGTAAACCCCGTTTGAATTATATTTGGGGGCATCTGTCATCCCCCCCCCTCCCACACCTCCCCCCCCCCCCCCACCCCTTCCCCTCATCAGTACGCCAATGTTGGCGGAAAAAATCGCAACTTTCTCTCCTCTTTTCCTTTCCCTTCCGTTCCTTATCTCTGGTTTAGGTTTGCCTGGGGGCAAGGGCCTATCGGCATCCCCCCCCCCCCGATCCACATGTTGTTGCCGGGATTAATCGCAACTGTTCTCCACCATCTTTTCATCTTTTCTTTACTTCTTCCTCTTTTTGTTCCCTTGTAGCTCTCCTCCTCTTTCCCTTTCCCTAAAGCAACTATGAGCAACTTTTTCTTTAATTTCACCCAAAGCGTTGTTTCTCATCAAAGATTTTCAGTCTTTCATGATAAGATTGTGCTTAAAACCCTATCAGGATTGTTCTTTCCTCTTTATAAGATGTAATTTTTTTGCACTGCGACTTCACAAATCTAAAATTCTTTGCTCACTCGCTCCGCTCACTCGGAAAAAAATATTCAGAACATCACACCGAACTGCACCATGTAAAGAGAGATACAAACATTGAAGATATCCCTGATGTAATGTAATTACAATGTAGGGTATATATTAATGTCTAAAAATTGTATATTTTCGCTTTGAGATTTCTCTATGTAGTTGCCCCTTTTCAGAAAGTGACCTTTTGCACCCCCCTCCCCCCCCCCCCCTCCCCCCACTTTGAAAGGCGCTTCGCCGCCCCTAAGTAGTAGTAGGACTAATACTAGAAGCAGCAGCAGCAAAATCGTCATCATTTCATTATAAGCCAACACTAAATAGAGTAGTACTAAAATAATACTAAAAAGAGTAGTTTCTGTAAATATGTTTTATTTTATGATACAGGTTTTTACACTTGATTAATACATTTCACATGAAAAATATTGACCTTGGATTCTGCACTATGACATTTACTCTCATAGTTTTGGCTATTATCACAGGGCGAGTATTGATTTTAATGTTATCCGTCTTTGACCAAACCTAAATCAAAAGTCGCCATTGCATATTCAATATATTAATCTCATCGACACATTGCACTGGATTTGGAATAGTAATAAAGAAATCAAGAAGCAATAGGCCATAAATTATGAAACATAAATATAATAATCATAAGTTACATTTACGGATCTATCATATATGTTGATGACGTACAGACAATATTTGTATCATGTACCTTGGCAAGTGGCAACGACTGAGGTCCTGCCTTCGACCATCGTTACCATTTTCTTGTACAAGTACTGAATATCTGTTTCCGAAGTATACAGACGCACAATGATGGGTTATTTGACCGAAGTGTACTAGAACATGCGTATTATGTCTTAATTACCTCCTTTTTAAAACATTTCATTTTATTGTGTTAAAAAACAAATGGCATCCACCTTTGCGATGTCAGTTTCTCTAAACTTTACAATTTCTGTAATCTAGTGGCATGGCTATAGTTTATAACCATCTACCTTATTGATTGATTGATTGCAAACGTGTCTGTGCTATTTTGTCAAGTTGACAAGTTAACAAAACTTAAGAAATTACAAACACATTCAACGCTCAGTTGGAAGAAACATGTATGTAATTTGAATTCAGATTCAAAGTCAACATTTCTGGGCCATAATACAATTTTACGCTGAAATCATTAACATGGTGTCAGCGTTTTTAGTTTCAAAACCAATCAGACTCATCAACATTATATACATTGTGTCGTATCACATAACGCTGAGCGTTATCGGCAATTCGGTCCCAAAACAGCATTTCAACTACACGGAAACCAAAAAATATTGAATTAAATCAGTTTCTTGATACACTAATTTTTCACATGGGAGAGAACATAGGCATTGGAATATTTGGGTACAGGTTATAGAGTGAAGATTTTATGGGACTTCATTTATCCCCTCTTAAATCGAATAGTTATCGCAGTCTGAACTCATTGAATTCCGTTCTTACAATATCAATATAAAAGACGCTATAATTAACAACAGCAAAATGTGTTGTTGCTATGACTACGTCAGAGATCCTTCAGAATAAAGAAGTGATAGCTCTATTGAAGGCAACTCGAACTGTCTCGGTTATACAAAGTGACTAACTGGGTGATACACTTTATGCACATTACCGCTGTACTTCCGACCTTATATCATACAGGTATCTCTAGAATTGCAAAATGTACAGAATATAAAACCATTTTCCCTGTATGTACATGTCATAATTATATATAATTAAAACTTAACGCCACATTGATTGAGAATGAAAAGAAAATGATAAAACAATCTACTATATCATGATTTATAATCATGTGGAAGTATGGCATAATATTTTTGTTGACAAATTCTTCTGAAGACGAGCAGAAAATACTGATCGAAACTTCAAGAATAAAGCTCTTAATTTGCGGAGCTCAAAAGCCTTTTTCAGGGATATTATTTTCTTTGGAAATTTTCAATGGTTTTTATAAACATGAAAACTTTACCTAAATTTTCACTACAGAATAGTTTAACAACAGAGTGTAACCTTTTTGATAATGATAAATACAATCTGGATTTATCTAGCGCTTAATTACAGTTGGATTCTCCGAGCAGCATCATATACAATGCACCAGGCGCGGATCCAGGATTTCTTAGGGGGGGGGGCCCAAATTTGAAATTATGCGAGCCAAATATTGGTACGTAATAGTGACCAACAGTGACGTAATGCGGGGGGGGGGGTCGGTGCAGGGAGGGGCGATTCCCCCCCCCCCTCCCTCCTCCGCGAAACGCGGAAGCTTTGACGTTTTATTAAATTATTAGAGAAAGAAGACGATTCGTTGTACCATTCTCGAAAATAATTCTCGTCTGAATTTAATTTTTCCCCTCCCGCGCGGAGCGCGGAAAAAAATTACGATTTATTAAACTATTAGAGAAAGAAGACGATTCGTTGTCGAGTTCTCGACTCTTAATCCTCGTCTGAATTCAGTTTTCCCCCTTCCTCGTGAAGCGTGGAAGCTTTTACGATTCATTAAATCATTAGAGAAAGAAGACGATTCGTTGTACCGTTCTCGACTCTTAATCCTCGTCTGAATTCAGTTTTCCCCCTTCCTCGTGAAGCGTGGAAGCTTTTACGATTCATTAAATCATTAGAGAAAGAAGACGATTCGTTGTACCGTTCTCGACTCTTAATCCTTGTCTAAATTCAGTCTCCCCCCTCCCCCTCTTGCGCGAAGCGCGGAAGCTTTTACGTTTCATTAAGCCATTAAAGATTCGTATTACTGTTCTCGCCTCTTAATCCTCGTCTAAATTTAGGTTCCCCCCCCCCCCTTCCCGCGCGAAGCGCGGAAGTTTTAAATTTCCTTAAATCATTAGAGAAAGAAGACGATTCGTTGTACCGTTCTCGAAAATAATTCTCATCGGAATTTAGTTCCCCCTCCATCCCGCGCAAAGCGCGGAAGCTTTTACGTTTCATTAAGCCATTTAAGATTCGTATTACCGTGCTCGCCTCTGAATCCTCGTCTGAATTCAGGTTCCCCCCCTCCCGCGCGAAGCGCGGAAGCTTTGGCGTTTCATAAGATTATGAGAGAAAGAAGATGATTCGTTGTACCGTTCTCGATTTTTAATCCTTGTCTGAATTCAGTCCCCCCCCCTCCCCTCCTGCGCGACGCTGTGACGTTTCATTAAATTATTAGAGAAAGAAGCCGATGCGTTGTACCGTTCTCTATACTGTTAATCCTTGTCTGAATTTCAAAGATGTTCTTTGTCTGCTCCTTTTTCTTCCTACGTCCTCTTCCGATTTGGGGGGACCGCCCCCCCCCCCCCCCCCCCTGGCTACGCGTCTGCGGTCAGATAAACACATTTTGATACCTTGTCTAACCCCGCAAGCGGTCAGATAAGCATTCAGGGGCCCGTCTTAGGGCCCCTGGTGGGGTCGAGGCGGCGGAGCCGGCACTGGAAGCTCAGGGGTTTTAGGCGTTTAATTAAGGTCAGCTGAGCATTTTTTTTGTATACCTTATTATTTTGTGACACTGGCAGGTCACTATTTGGCGTGGGGTCCAGGGGGCGGAGCCGCCAAAAATCAGGGGTTTGAGGCATTAAATTACCGTCAGATGATCATCTAAGGGCCCGCCGTAGGGCCCTAGGTGGAATCCAGAGGGCAGAGCCCCCGGAGGCTTAGGGGTTTAATAGGCATTAATCACGGTCAGATGGGCATATTTTGATGCCTCATTATTTTTTAACACTGGCAGTTAACTATTCTTTCATTCTTGCTCTCATTCTATATTATTTCTCTTTAATATACTTTTTCAAAAAAGTAGGGGTGGGGGGGGGGGAGCTCGGTGCTCCCGATCCCCGCCGTACCTCGGGCACTGACATGTAGGAATCTCAAGAATCATATTTCTTGCCTGGCTGTAAATTTAGGAATTTGTCATTTTCCAACAAACACATACAAACGTATAATTTACTAAAAAGTGAGGAAAAATCTCGGAAATTATGTCATATCAGCATTATTTGTAATCCACTGTTGTGGAATTAGAAATAAACCACGTTTGAATTTGATTTCCCCCCCCCCCCCCCCCCCCCCCCCCCCCCCATCGGTACGCCAGTATCTCCTCTTTTCCTTTTTTCTTTCCCTTTCCTTCCTTCTCTCTTATTTTTTTGATTGGGGGGAGGGGGGGGGGGGGGTCAACAGCCTGGGAGGCAAGGCCCTTTCGCCCCCCCCCCCCGATCTCCTTTTTCCCCCTTTTCTTTTCTTCTTCCTCTTCTTTCTTTCCCTTTCTCTCCTCTTTCCCTTCTTTTCCTTTCTTCTCTCTTTTTTTTTTTTTTTTTTTTTTTTTTTTTGCGGGGGGGGGGGGCCAAGGCCCGCTCGGCCCCCCCCCTGGATCCGCGCCTGCAATGCACAATCAAACTCAAGTGTGGGCTATAACTGACAGAGTCTATTTCTCAGTGGTACGCTTGCATTACACAACGATGCACATTTTACTCTTGACAGGGCTTCGAATCCTTGTGTGATTTTTCCTCGGGTTCGTCACATCTTCCACGGCCTTCACCGCCGCGACCACGGCTTTTGCAGCCGCTTCGGCGTCGCCACTCTGAGCAGCTCGGGCTGCTTCGGCCGAGGCTTTAGCAGCAGCATGACGTGCATTTCGATTAGTGGTCGAACCAGCACCAGAAGCATGGCCATTAGAACTGTCTTCGTGTTCATAGATGTACTTCGCCATCGATTCGGCCAGGAGGACCGCTACAAACGCCTTGGCAACCTGAGAAAACATAAACCGTGACGTACATTTTTATTATAAATGCATGAAAGTCTCTTTTCAACTGTTTTTAATATCGCATCATTCCCATGAAATGGTTTCCTTCCGGCATTATGATTACAAAATCAAAATTGAATAAGTCATTTTAAACAATGTCGCATTACTGTTCTTTACCTACTGATAAATGTGGTTTCACAAAATACCAACATAACAATAACAATACAGGTGAAGTTCTTTGTGTTAACACCTCGACCTAGCAACATCGGGGGTGAGTAAAGATCCACAAATGCTGTATAGTCACAGGTCCTATCAAACAAGTGGCCACGTATCTTGAGCCATAGTTCTATCTAAGATTTTATACAGCCAAGGGGGTTCTAGGACACCTACCCCCCAGATAACTACCCCCTAGGAAAACTACCCCCGGACAACTACCCCCTACGACAACATCCTCTAGGACTACTAACCCCCGGGACAACTATCCTAGTGGGAAGTTGTCCGCGGGTACTAGTCCTAAGGGGTAGTTATCCGGTAGTAGTTGTCCGGGGGTAATTATCATAGGCGGTAGTTTACTGGGGGTGGTTATCCGGGTGTGTCCAGGGGGTAGGTGTCCGAATACAAGCCAAGGGATACCGAGCTTAGTTTCACCTACCCTCCTCGCTTCCTTGATCTCATTCTCCTCACTGATCTTGGTTGTCTTTTCTTCGACCAGGTCCCACTTGATCTCAACTGCTTTCTTCTTAGCCACCTTCTTATCCTTGGCCATCGGTGATGATGAATCCCTGGCCGCACCATCACCAGCATCCTGACAGGAAGTATCATAAAACCATGAACATGAAAATGCAATATCTTACAACATTATCCACATGAAATTGAAAAGCATCGATTAATAATGATCACTAAACTTTCATGCAACAGGATGAAAAACAGATTGACTTCAAATAGACCACCAGTCTTGTGAAGATGTCTGCTTTAGACACTGTTAGATGGATCATTGGGCAATCATTTGCTCTCTACGCCAGAGGTCAATTTTTTTAATAACTTTCTATATCAGAGGCATATTTTTTTTCTTCAAATGCATATTCGTATTTATAGTTTATTGTTTATAGGTAACGTTACATTAGATTAACTTCTTTAAATTCTATTGAAAGGTATGTCTTAATCATTGTAAGAGTATGCTTACTTTATGTGGCGTTGAGTCAGAACTTCCTGCGACTTCGTCGGAGAGTCGACTCGGATCGGGTAGCGTAGAGGGCGTCTCTGAGATGGGACTTGGACAAGTGTCATTGCCATCAGTAGCAGAAAGAGCTAGGGCCTCTAGCCATTCATGGACAGACTGAGATGGTTCCCCTGGAAAATCAAATAAGACTTCATTTAGGCTTGGCGTTTGACTTAAATAAACGTATTGATTTTCTTCGTTTAATTATGTCACCAGATCTTTGTTTCGTTGGCTCATTCGTTATCGAATGACAACATGTTTTATCATTGTCTGACATAGCATGGTTGTACAGTTTCGTACTTGCTTATTCCTGTATTTCAATATTTTTACACCGGCGAGAAATAAAAATGTTGTTACCCAGTGTTGGGAACATGAGTCCTAGATCGATCTCGTAGCTGGCTCCGTTCTGTGAGAGGTTGATAGAAGTGTTTCCAGAGAACAAGGTATGTAGGCACAGCTGTAGAGGAACCTCGGGAGCCACTTCGATCTCAGAACTACTACACGTATAGAACATGCTGAACGGCGTTATTGTGATCTGTGGAATTGATTAGAATACAAAAGGAAAATACAATACGAAAATGATCGAACGATTGGATGAGTAGGTAATTTAAGAATACCCCTGCTGGAAAGAACACACTCATTCACACTCATTCACAGTGTGCTCCACAATGTTAAATTGGGGGCGTTTTCACATTGTGGTCGATTCGTTTCACACTGTGGTTCACAGTGTGGATAACCGGAAAAGAAAAGAACACACTCATTCACACTCATTCACAGTGTGAATCACACTGTGTTTCACACTGTGTTCACAGTGTGAATGAGTGTGTTCTTTCCAGCAGGGACATAAACCTTTTCGATGATGTACATAATGAAGACAAAAACGTGGTATGAATTCTATATCGTAATTTTAGTCAAGAAGGGGTATTGGAAATTTTCCAAGACAATTTCTCACCATTTTGTAAAATCCTGGCCACTCCTGAAGGAACTGTTCAGTGATGAGGAGAACCCTAGCGATAGCTCCCCAGATGATCTCAGTAGCTCTCTGATCTCCTTCTTCATCAAGATCAGATGTGACACGCCCGACGACATCCAGACATGGACAGAACTCTGTCATCTCAGGCTCGTTAATGTTCACTAGGGCCTTGAAGAACAATCAAGAAGAAGATGTCCGGATCGACAAATAAAATGTTTATATTGATCAAGAAAACACAGAAGATGGGTCAAATTGTGTCTGCCAAGTGAGTATATTAATATTAAATAATAGCAATAATGATTGTTGCTTGTATAGCACATAATAATTAATGTACAACGAAAGTAATAATAAAATGCACTTAAAGTTAATCTTGGCTTCTAGTAATTACGAAATTGTTTGGAATCCTCAGTAGAACAGCAGGATTATAATGGTAAAGTTAAGCAGGGCTGTCCATATTTTTAAAAAGTCATATTGCATGTTTGTTGGCTATAATATATTGATATTGTATCAGACTAGAAACAACCAAGACACGCTAAAATTAAAGGAATTATTAGTCTTCCAAAGTCAGTCAAGATATGAAAAACTATGGAAGGGAAGGAGAAAGTAAAGAGAAATGAAGCTGGTTTTGAGGAACAAATTTGTGAATCGACAAGATTGTATTCAGAAAATATGAAGAAATTAATTGAAGTTTGGAATTTAAAAAAAATTGCCACAATCTATATCACTTTTATTTGGCATATAATTACATATTTCTGTCATTGTTTTTCAAAATGTATGGTATTTAAAATGTTTAATTCGGTTAATAATGTTTTTTGGTTTATTTATTCATTATTCGAGTATAGCCAAAGTGTGTCATTTATGATTTACAAAAGCGTCTCCATCCCATTCATCCATTACTTAATTTCATTATTATGTTTACAAATTCTGATGATTGTAATTTTCGGCCATAATGTGCAAAAGAATGATATTAAGATTACAGTATAAGGGAGTTTACAGATAGCACATGGTACAAATGACCCCAAATATCCACAGATCTTTTACACATGGAGAAGTTCCACTTTGAGCATCTTAGAATAATAAGTGCCCAAGTCCTAGATGTGCTTCATGAATACCTTTTGTTTGCCCTCTTGAAAAGAATACTTCCACCTGCGTATCTTAGAATGTACCGTTGGTGCATAAATGAATAATGTTACATAACTTTCATGAGCGCATATCCAGTATTCATCTCTGGTGGGTTTTACATTTTTGGTACAAATGACCTTTATCTGCCCATGCGCAGATTGTATCTGTAAACTCCCTTATTCTTTTGGGACGGCAAAACCATAAATCGACTTAAAAGGAGACCGTCCTGTCGGAATAAAACCGAAATAAATTATTCATGATTAATTCATCGTTTATTCTCAGGTGGTTTGTCACGTGCAGATTTCACACATTTATTAACATTTGAACTAGTGCTCTTCTAAATTTCTTTTGAACAGAAACCTTTCAATTTTCGAGTGGTTCTCTCTGTCAGTAGGAGACCATTAAAGTGATTAAACGATATTGATTACTGATATTTTTCTTAATCCAGTCATATATTTATCATCTTTTAATTGTATTAAAATATCGAATGAAACTGAATCACCTTTGATAGATGCTATGGTCTTTAGCGATATTTGTTTACACCTAAAACTTAAACAGCAGCTAAAGTATAATCAAAGAAAGATAGTAATCGACTTTAAACCACTACAAATGTGTCATTCCGTGATTATCACCGGGATGATGATTTACTTGATTTTCGTAATTAACGTGAAAGAAAGAAATTAACAAGGATTATGTTCATCCCAGCATTCCTGCCGTGTTGAAACAAAGTGAAGCTGAACAGAATACTATTACGGTGTATCTTTGATGAAAAATTATACATAATGTGTCTTTTACTTTCATTTATAAACAATTACAAATGTCAACAGTGAAAGATGTTTCAACTGTTCTATTGTCTAAATTAGTCATGAAAGTGCGCATAAAATTGATTAACTATGTGATCGGAAATTTCACAAAATATTAAATGTACGAGCAACATAAAACAAACAAAAGCTATAACCGTGAAAATAGTACGCCCTAGCTTGAAACCCTCCTCCTGAGGTCCCTCGATAGCTCCTCCCTATATTAATAATTTATTCTAAATAATAGATAGTAGTTTCACTTTCAACTACATCCGCTGATGTAAAATCTCAAAGATTATTCGTCATTCAAGTAAGTTTCACGCGATAGATCTGTTTCGACACTGCATGAGAACCACTGACACTTTTCTGATCTGTCTTCGTTTCTTCGTATAGATAGCGAAAAGTAAGTGATTCGTTTCTTTCCTCACTTTATATACTGCTCTCTTTACTTCGTCCTGGTCAAAGACATCAATCAGCAATCAAATGCATTTACAATTGTTTGGCGCTCTATGAATATTTGAAACCGTTACTGCTAACTTAACAAATTAAGTTAGGTAAATTTTGATTTAAATATTTATTGTTGTCATTATCGAATTACCTTTTGGTTTGTCTGAGACTTTTTGAGTAAATCAGTTGGTCCCTGAAACCCTTTTCCTTTTGCTTGTACTTCCTAACCCAACCGGAGAATCCTGAATCCACTGTTGTTATTTTCTTCAGGCTCAAAAAGGTAAATTTCAATTTAGTAATAATTTGAATATTTTTTACATTGAAGTGGCTTACTTCGTTCTATCGGTTCTTTGAGTCGGGTCGGGTCGGGTCGGGTCGGGTAGTCGGGTTACACTATCTTACGTGAAAACATGCCCCTATATTCACAAAAAGTCAATCGGCTATTTTTCATAGACGGTACTTAAAGTAAAGCTTATATTTTACATGCATATTTGTGGAAACACGCCCATACAATCAGAAAATGACCAAGTGTCGATCGCTGGCCTGAACTCTTGTGATTATTTAAGTCCAAGTTTAAGTTCATTTTTATTCAAAATCACACAGAACATGATTATCTATCTGTTATAAAAATTATAGGGTCGATACGCGAGTTTTCGTAGATTTGCTTAATTTTTGTTTAAGTGTCAGTTAAGCTGCACCCAAGACTTTGGCTATAAGAGGGATGTATTTAACACACGTGACACCCAATCCTTCTGAAATTAGGGCTTGATTATCTACGGAAATTCGTATAACCTGAAGACGGGAAGCCCCAATGGAACGAAGTAACCCAATTGAAGGCGATAATGAATTTATTATTGTATTTCTGAATCTGAATCAAGTTAACTTGTTAATAATCAATTGTTTCGAAAAATCGATAATCTAAGGAACTTAATTGACGTCCTTGAATGTGGCGGGGGGGGGGGGGGTAACCAAACCGGGGAAAATATTTGATAATACATTCCAAATGACATTTGTTATATTGCTTTTCAGAGCATCTTCGCTTTCCGTGATAAACTGGGTGCTTTCCTTCAAAAAACGATTTCCCTTTTTAAACAAAGCACTTACATGACGAATTCCTTCTATTTCTATTCATTCTATTTTGTCGCTGCTAAACCCATGTGTTTTACTACTATATTTATTTATCATTGTGCATTATAGTGCATGGAAGGCAATAACAAGTTCCAGGTTTAAATGAAAAATGTGGACTAATAGGAAGTTAATGTATATATAGCCGTCCAATTTCCCCAAGTAGCGATATTAAAGTAGCACACTAGACATTTTTTTGTGTTCAGTTTTATTGTTTCACAACTCGCCTTGTATTTCTATCTTCAAGCGCAATCATGTCACTTGAATTTGAAAATATCAAATTTGGGATTAAAAATTATAGGGTTCGTTTCACTTTCCCTGACATTTTCAGCTCTCTTGACCAACATGGCTAACACAAGATTGATCCAGCTTTTGGTTGTTTTATATCTGACCGTCTTGACAGCTACAAAAGAATCATTCCAACACGTTGGAACACCAAGTAACCGTCAAAATCACCCACGTTTAACGGCTACTAATTGTCGGTCTGGTCAGTTTCAGAGACAAATCTCCTGCAGCAAAATGGGACTCACAAATGTTCCACAAGACTTGTTTCCACGTGTAGAAGAACTTGATCTTTCCTACAATTATATCGAGACTCTTTCAAATGCGTCATTTAGTCCATACAAACGTCTTACGGACTTGTCACTATATAAAAATCATATAAGAAAAATCTCTATTGGAAGCTTTCATTCTTTGTCAGAACTAGTGCATTTGGACCTGGGTAGTAATTTTCTGATAACAACCATCACATCTGATATGTTCAGAAATTGTACAAAATTATCATTTTTAAGTTTTGTAGGGGATTCATTAGCAGCCATTCCTGGCACCATGTTAAGGTGGCTCCCTAATCTACAAATGCTTGATCTATATATCACTGCTATTCGTCATATTAACATAACTTCTTGTAGTTCAGAAGTTCCTAAACTGACAATAGATCTACGGGTGAGTAAACTTAAAGCAATAACACCCGATACATTCAGAATTGACTGCAAATTACGTAGTCTTGACCTCAGCTTTCATGACCTCACGATGATTGACCAGCACTCTATATCATCCATACGCTCCTCATCTCTCTACTTCGGTCGAATCAATATGTCACCAGATTTGTGGAGACCGTTCTTCCAAGGTATAGCACATTCTGAAATCATGGAGCTTTACTTAAGAGCCACTTATTTAGGAAGGGTCGATCCGCACTACTTTTCGCTATTACAAAGCAAACCGCTGAAGGTTCTGGACCTTTCAGATAACAACCTGTCCAACATCACCAAAATGGGATTCTTAAATTTACCGTTAGTTGCTACTCTTGTTCTAGTTAATTGTTCTATTGAAGATATAAAGCCGAAATATTTTTCCCGAATGAATGGCTTACGGGTTCTGAAACTGAGTTCAAATAAAATTAGCCACATTAATGCAGTTGGCAGTACATGGAATTTAAACGTGCACGAAATGGACTTTCAAAATAATAAATTGGGTATTATTTACGAAAGCTCATTAAAAGGATTAACAAATTTGACAACTTTGGACTTGAGGGGAAATGTACATTTATCAACTATTACCATAACAGCTTTTACAGATTTAATTAGCCTTCGGAACTTGGATTTATCGGGATGTTCTTTGGGACAAGTATTGGTGTATTTTCCTCAACTGGAAACTTTCATCTATAGCAATTGTACG